GTACTACTTTAATCCGAGTTCATTTGATTAATCTCTGTAGTATTTAACTTCTTCTGTTACGCCTTACCTTAGAACAAATATGCATAACGCATAAAGCGCATTCTAAAGTTCTAATCAATTGAAATAGGTGAAACACCCTACCACCTGGCCTTTGGTACCGAAGCAGTCATTCCTGTTGAGATAGGAGTCCCAAGCTTCCGAGTCACCCATTTCGATGAAGAACGAAATGGACAACTGCTTCGGGAAAACCTTGATCTGCTTGCTGAAGTCAGAGAAGAAGCTCGGCTTCGAACTCTTGCATACAAGCAGAAGCTAACCAACTTCTACAATAAACGGGTCCACCCTCGAACATTCAAAGTAGGAGACCTCGTTCTCAGAAAAGCTGGCCTAACGGGGTTTGAAACTCGTTTTGGCAAACTCGCCCCGAATTGGGAAGGCCCTTATGCCGTGGCCGAAGTGCCACATCCTGGTGCCTATGTCCTCCAAGACGCTGAAGGAAAGAGAGTTCCTAGAGTCTGGAATGTGAATAACTTGAAGAGATTTTACCCTTAATGAAATTCTTTCAAGTGTTCTAGGTCTTACTGTTATTTACGCTTTTCACTTCGTGTTTATTGAAAATCACTTTACCCCTTATTCTATGTATCTGAGGTCAATCAGTTCATTCACTTCTGTTAATAAATGTCACTTCACATTTGAAGTGCTTTATCTCCTTTTATTTCATCTGCAATGATGTACTTGTTCCCAATTTATATGAAGTGAATTACTTATTCTTACTTCCTCTTAATTCGTCTGAAGTGAATTACTTCTTCTTACTTCCTCTTAATTTGTCTGAAGTGAATTACTTCTTAATTCTTCTCAAGCCCAGTCTCAAGTACCCACAATTCTTTTATTCATAAACAATAATACCAAAAATGTAAAGCAAATATAAACAAACATATGATTTCAAATATAAACTTTCATTTCAGTCAAAATAAAGAATACAAGCTGTAACTGTCTTTACAAAACGTTAAAAAATTAAACAGCAACAAGCAAATTATTCTTCTGGGAGAGGTGGCTCCACTGGCTCTTTCTCAGCTGGAAGAGGTGGCTGTGCAGGCTGCTGCTCGTTTGGCAGAGGAGGCTCCTCATCGTCGGAGGGAACTGGGTGAATCTCCACTTCTGGAATCGATTGACTATCACCCACTCCAGTTCCTTCCACTCTTACCTCCACTCCGTCTCCCTCTACCTCTGCTCCTTCTTCCTCCACTGCAACGAACTTGAAGTCGAACTGTGGAGGAAAAACAGCAAGACCGTCTGCATCATCCGACCACCTCAGTTTGATCTGAGGACGGAAGTCTGCTGACATGCTCTCACCATCTTCCTCCACTCCTTCTTCTTGCTCGCCGAAGGTGACCTTTGTCACATCCACTTCGGGATATGCAGCCTTCACCTTCTTTCTGCAGTCTGTGAAGGCGATGATAGTAGTGGGCAGCCGGTACAGGTTGACGATGCTGTCAAACGAGCTGGAACTGATGAAGTTGCTGATGTGCTCCTTCATCCCATTGTGCACCAACTTCTGCATGTTCCCCTTCAGCTCCTTGAACGCCTCTGTCACCAGCTTCGTTTCTTTTGCCTGAGCCTCACGCTCGCTTTCAGCGATCTTTCGCTTTGTCTCTTCAAAGCCGAGCTTGGTGCCCAGAGAAGACCTCTCCTGTTCCAACTGCTTCACAGTTGGAACCACCTCATCCAGAGACTCTTGCAGATTTTTATTCTTCTTCTCCAACTCCTCCTTCTCCTTCCGCAGTTGGTCACACTGCCTCTGCAAGAGTGCGCGCTTCTTTATACTCTCCCTAAACTCCTGGGCTAGACCATTCACCCAGCTCGCGCTCTGCAAATCGAAACAGAAATTCAAAAAGAAAGAACAGAAGAAGAAACAGAATATATAAATAGCAACACTGATTACACATACCTCAAGAACATGCTTCACCACAGATGCTCCTCCATACCTCAGAGCTTCCTCCCGGGCGTTGCACTTGTCCACCTCGGGGAAGGTGCTGTTGATGAACCACCTAGCCCCCATTACATTCTTCGCCTCGAACAGGCTGCTCTGAGGCACCACAGGAGAAACAGGGCCCTTTCCCTTACCAGGAGCTCGTACCTCAGCCCCCTCCTCCAACCGTCTGAGCTCAGGGTTCAGCTCAACAGGAGGAGGCTAAGGCACGAACTCAAGCACCCCACTCCCCTCTTCCTCCACCACCTTCTGCTTCTTTTGCAGGGCCCTCCTCTCCTCCCAACCCTTCCTCTTCAGTGCTGGCACCTCCTCCTCCGTCTCAGCTGATGCTAAGGGTACCACCTCCTTCCCAACCCTCCCCTCATCCACTTGTTTGGCTGAAGTCCTTGACTTCTTCCTTGGCTTCTTGGGGATGGCCTTCCCTCCAGCAGTGTTCAAAAACTGGTCCATTTGAGCTGCAAAGCAAAAAACACAACATTAGTCACAGTTTTATATTCTACATTTAACACTACAATGCATGCTAAACAAACCTTCACTTAGAGCGCTTGGCCCATAGAGCGCTTGACCCATAGAGCTCAGCAGCTTCTATACACGCTGCGCTGGTGAGGTCCATAATATTCAATTCTTCCCCCCTCTTCCTCACCAACCTCCCCACTTCTTCCTCCTCATCCTCATTCAAGCTAAACTTATTCTGGTTGGCCCTTTTGGCCTTCCAGGAAGCTAACGCCCTCACCTCGATATCCCCCTTTCCCCACTCCGTATCATCTACAAAAAAGAATTTTTCCTTCCATCCCTTAATGGATGAAGGACCCGAAGTGAATAAAATCCTACCCTCCTTATTAGCTACCCTCGGGGTGAAATAATACCACCCCTTATCTCTCCTGCTACCCCCCTTTAAAACAAAAAAATACTTAAACATATTTA